TTATTTCATATCATTTTTACCATCAACATTAATATTTTTCATATTTGTTATACCATCGACCGGATACACAAATGCATTTAAAATATTTATGAAGAGATTTACAAGCAGCATCAGGTCAATGTTATCATGTTAAAGAAAAAAAACATGAAAAACTTGTTTTCTGTCACTATATGCTTTATGTTAAAAAGAAAAAAAAGATTCAAATCAACATTATCCTTGAGAAAAAAGAAACATCTCTGTCAGTTAACATTCTCCTTTTATGACATAACACATAATTTTGAGGTAGACAGAGTAAAACCCCACTTACTAAGACTACTCATCTCAGAAGGGCTTGTAAACAGGATCCTGTTTCGCACAATACCTAGTTTTACTTCCAGAAGTGAATATTTCTTCAAATATACTTCATTTTTAATCAAAGCAGCTTTCAGGTCAAATTCGGATTTTAGGTCCAATTTCAAGTCAATCATTGTTAATGGCAATCAGATTATTTAAATTTATTTTTAGCAATCTATATGTCAACATCTGAAAATTGAAAGAAATTCTCAAAAAGATTACTGAAAACGAGCAGACTTAATTAAACCGAGATAGGATACTAAACAAACAAACTTTTTATTTAAAATATTTTTAAAACTAATGAATCATTTTCACTATTTTGTATAGCTTAGTAACCAAAGTTCATTTTGTACAGTTTCTGTACAAAATGATAATGATACAGTATTTCCCCTTTTGTTTGAAGGGATGCCCGATATCTTCTTCAATCCATCAGGATCAAATGAATCGCCTGCTGCACGAAGTTGCAGATTTACATACGAATGCAGAAGGCATTTTCTGGTTAACTTTGCCTCGATACATTGCTTCACGATAATGTTCGTGATGTGAATGACTAACAAAGGCTAATAGATGTGTTTGTGACACTATTTAGGAACGGTATAGTTGCTATCAGAGTCACAGAAAATTGTTGTTTTCGAAAAGACAAAATAAAGCAAAGAAAACGTTTTCCTGTTAGTATTATTATATTTTTATTGTACTAGGAAAACTTTTTAGCAAACGAAAAGGTACATTTTTTCGTTGCTTTACTTTACCTCTTTATCATTCTTTTATTTTCTCATGTATCGTTTGTTTCTATCTAACTTTAATTCATTATTTGCACATAAAAACATTCTAACAACAAAAGAAAATTTGTTTTGCAACGAATGCGGCATAAAAGAAAGCTTCAGAAAAACTAATAAGGAACTAATAAGCACTTTTTAAAATAAAGAATCAAAACAACGTCCGAATAGGCGCGCTGGGTACAATAACTAAAACGTGAACTGCTAAACAGATTTTCACAAAACTAGACACTTCATGTTTGAAACCATGCTCTTTCCTCTAGGCTAGTCGAAAAATTATTCCAGTACAGCAAGTTTTACACAACACTATGGGATTTTTGCTACAACTACTCGGACACTCACACATGGAGTAATTATTGTGTGCGCTTTTGTATTCTTTTAATTGATCTAATAAATATATGTTGTAGGCAAAACTCAAATTGGAGTTCTGACTGGGCAAAACTTAAATTGGAGTTTTGCCTGAAGTTTTTCTAGGCAAAACTCAAATTTTAGTTTTGACTGGGCAAAACTTAAATTTAATATTATAATTTGAGTTTTGCCTGAATATAATTATATTATTTATAAACTAAATTTTGACACCATCTAAGAGTATTCCTGATTCCAGTCAGGTGACAGTCTTCTATTACGTGTTTCAAAGGGAGGAGATTCGTATAATAATATTTTTCTTCGTTTTTTTCTGCGTTTAAACGTCGTCTTCTCCCGTAGCCCTAAGTGATGGAATAGGTTTGTCGACTTAATTCAAACGAACAAACACCACTCTAAACACGGGGTTCTGGGGATTATTTTTGTAATTTTTTAAATTTTATTCCCCTGGATTTGTATTTTTATATATGCAATTTATTATAATTGTATTATTTTTATGTACAATTTAATATAATTTACTATTCATGATTCACTCTGTATTCTCACATGCTCCTCATTTTGAATGGCACTTAGTTGAACATTTCACATTCGATTTCTTACATGGGCAACGTTTTGTCGCACAATCAGACTTACAATCACAGGTCGCAGTACTTGCATCACGAACAAACAGTTTACTAGCTTCAATAACAGTTATGTCATTTAATTCAAGAATATCCAAGTTTTTCAATTCCGCTGGACAAGCTGTTCTTAAATCAACAAGACTTTCAACACCAAACTTCGTAGTCAGTATTCCAAACTGACAAGCAAGTTCAAAAACAAAATCTTCATTTTTTTTCTCTTTCGTGTGAATAACACATGGCAAAATCTTCGGATCTGTATTAGTTCTATCAACATCATGAATTTTAATACCAACACAATCTCCTTGATTAAATTTATCAGCGAAGTTTCTTAAATGTTCATCATACAATTTCCGTTTTTTATTTGCCGTAGTTAAGTAATTCTCCGTTGCTTGTTTACGTACTGATTTATGTCTAGGTGATGGTGCAGAAAAGGCCAAAGAACTCGATGAACATAAAGCATTAGCAGTGAACAATGTGGAAGGACTAACAACAACTGGTGATTTAGAAGCATCAGCAGTTAGATTAGCAACAACTTCAGCTCCAACACATGATCCTACAATAGAATTTACGTTATTGATTGTTTGGTCTTAAAATAGATTTTTCTTGTTTTCATTATGTCTTTTTGTAAAAATAAGATAATATTGTTGATCCTCGGTCAAAGCACAATCGAACGGTATATTAGACGAATATAGAAAAAGTAAAGAATAATCAGTCTTGGACTCCTCCTATAAAAAGTTCAGAAACAATTTTACAAACCAATCTAGTTTTTTCTTTGAAAAGACCGAGCCAAGTTTTGTACTTCATTAGAACCGTCATTAAACTAGCTTTAAAACTACATATCGCTTTGCTTTCCATTATGTTTTGTCACTGAGAAAGTTCGTATTTTCTAAATCAGGAGCGCTAAAATCCAAATTCTGTCGGTATTCTCAATTTTATTCATCAGGACTCAAGTTTTATGCAATAAAAATATCATATTCGAAATCAGCGTCGCAAACTAAATCGAATGATATTCGACACTGTTTGTTTATTTTCATTTTTTGGTGAAAATAATTTTCACCAAAAAATGCAAATTTCAAATTTTGTTCGAAAAATATTTTTTTCTCAAACAACAACCATGTTGTTTTAATTCTTTTATCGCCAGTTTATAGAGCGTTTTCCACTCTACAAAATCCGGTATAAGCAGTATCTTCACTAAATTTCCTTACTGAGTTGAAAAACCTATTTCATCTCATGTCAGTAAATGCGAAATGTGTCAAATATTTTAAAAAATTATTTTTTGAGAAACGATCATAGTTTCAAACCAAAAATTATATATGACTAGATGTGCAATAAAATTCTCTATCGAACCTGCTATTCAGCTTTTTGGTCCGGCAGGGTCCTTTATTTTGTCAATATTCTTAATCACTTTTAAGTAGCACAAGTGTCACAGGTTTTATCGCTTATTTTACTTTGCACAGAAATAAACGTACATTTCTTCAAATGCATTTTTTCTTGTCATCAAGGTTCAAAAATAGAACCCACACTCTTCCCGAAGTACTTCAATTATTCTATATAGTATGTAAGTTTTATAAGAAGGAGTTTCACGATTACACATATCAAAATATGATGGTTTTATTCTAGAGAAGCGACCCTCGAGATTTTTACATATTCGGAAGCAGCGTGACGAGTTACGTTGTACGGCGCAAAGATCTCGTCGGGGTTCCGACACTTTTTGGACTCGGATTCTCCACTGTGGATTTTCACGGTATATTACACTATATTCAACAGTAGATATCAACAATGCCGGTTTTCTCCCGTTCTCTTTTATGTTTCATTTTTCTTTGCTTTGATGTTTTTAAAGTAGGGGCCCTACTTTCCTTTGTAAATTATCATGATCTGGAGCATGTTTTTTTGCTAGGGCAGCTAATTATAATTACTAATTCAATGTCTGCAGTTTTTAACAAGTAACATTCATCTTTGATTCACTAACCATAGACTAGGTATGCAACAGTACCAGTATATTGGGTAACCAAACTATTTGGGTATCCAGTATACTAGTACTGGTGCATACCTAGTGCTATCCCATTGTGGGCTCCACAACCTCGGAATGATTAAAGGTTTTGGGATCAAATTTTAATGCTGACCGATTTACTTAAGAATGTACATTTTCTGAAAGATTGGTTAAGGATATATCATATGAAAAATCGCTTTTAGAGGGGAGAGGCTTTAATTTCATGACAACGTTTACTTAACAGTGCACTGTGTCGAGTTTAGGACAGTTCAAACTAATAGTGGGCCACTCCCTCGAAGTGGCGACGACGTTTGAACAATCTCTTATACAGTCTACGGCAAGTTTGAGCTTCTCTGAATTCATTTACTTGCTTCAACTAGAGTTGCAGTGCGTGTTCAAAATGACGTTCTTCACTACATATTTTCTTACAATATTTTTTATATAACTTTTTGTTTTCATCTGTTAGATTTTCAGATTTTTGAATTCTCTCGAGGAATATTGTTTTTCCACTCACTCTCACTATTCACCTATCCTCTCGCACTGAGCGAGGTGCCGAATACACGACACCTCGCACAACATGAATATACAATCCGAATCTTGAGAGTGAAAGCATAGTTCGTACATCGTTTAAACGTCAGGGCGACCAAATGTCGGATGACGTCTTTGCTGACACTCCCGAAAGTGGCAGTATCATTTTGTTGACATATCTACACCTGTCAATAGCCATTCCGTTGAAATAATTGCTTGCCTTTTCCCGGATAGATTAGTTGAACAATGTACTTGCCAGAACATTGTCTTTACTTGCTTAGAGATAAGCGCAACAAGGGCTTCATAGACAATAATTTTTATTCGTGTTTTTCATCATTACACAATGAAATAAAATGTTGGCAGACAATGCAAATAATCATAGACTCACATTGATGTAGGAGAAAACCTTTAAACTGAGAAAAGGTAACTCTTATTTTGCACATTTCTAAGTACGCACACAATTTTATATTTGCACATGATATCATGCTTTAGAAAAAAGATAATTTCATATTCATTCGAAAAATGAAAATTGGCTCCATTCAACTTGACCAAAGTGTACTGTTTATGGAAGCCTTTCATCTTCTAAGTAGTGTGCAGCAAAGGACCCTGCCGGATTTAAAAATGTGAAAGTACCAAAGAGCTGAATAGCAGGTTCGATAGAGAATTTTATTGCGCATCTAACCATATATAATTTCTGGTTTGAAACTATTATCGTTTCTCAAAAAATAATTTTCTGAAAAGTTTGACCATTTACTAACATGAGATGAAAAAAGTTTTTTAACTCAGTAAGGAAGTATAGTGAAGATACTGTTTATATCGGATTTTGTAGAGTGGAAAACGCACTATAAACTGGCGATAAAAGAATTAAAACAACATGGTTGTTGTTTGAGAAAAAAATATTTTTCGAGAAAAATGTCAAATTTTCACTTTTCATACCCTTCACTAAAACTTCTATAGCAGGTCAAAGATACAGTACCACTTCCAAACTTTGTCAGAAATTGCCTGATACTTAACTCTATCTAGCAACACGATTTGAGCCTTTAAGACCGGGTGCATCAATAAGAAAAAAAATCAACACTAAGAAATCTTCGTGCAGTTCAATTAATAAATTATATGTTACAAAACGAACATTTAGATTCATCTTGTGTGACGTTCAATTGACACGAGAATTGGTCAGGCTCTCAGTTGTTAGATCAATAATGCTCCAATGATAACGAATGAAACCGTTTTCTTACAAGTTTTATTGAGAAGAATTTAGGATTGTACAAAAGTGTGGCCATAACAAAATGAAGTAGATCTAATGACTATTGAACTGAAAATATATATGTATATATAGTGGAGAGAAGAAGAAAAATCTAGTATGACAAGAGAACAATAACAAAGTAGCCAGGATAAGAAGAAGTACGACACATATAGAAAAAGTTAAGTTACTCGAACAAAATAGAATATAGATCACTATGTGTAGGTAAAAGAAGAAAATATCACGCACTAGGAGAATGCGATGAGGTGACGGATGACCGTTCACGTAAAATATAACAAGCCGGTTGACAGACACACGACACTTTTGGTGATGATTATGGGTCTAGACATTTCACAGATTTGCTGTTTTCAGGCGAAAGCAGCCAAGATATTTCTGGTAGGTACGGAAATTTCATGAAGTATTAAGGCCAGATTTCTTTGTCGTTTGTTATATCTGATACACTCGTGCGTTTTAGCGTTAGTTGAAACCAACAAAATACAGACGAGATCCAGTATTTTATTATTAATTTTAATCTTGCCCAGGAATATCAACAAGTATATTAACCTAATCTTGAGCACGAACAGGATGGCAGACAATAAAACAAACCAAGTAATGAATGCATAAGTTTTGTCGACACAGTTTACAGAAGGCCGGAAGTACCTAGTCACTCAATGAAAATTTGCTTTTCTTCCGTTTAGCAGTCTCAATGAACATTGAACAAATATTGAAAAATCTCCATCAATCTCAATAGTTTTCGTGCAAAGTTTTCAATAAAAAAAGTCTTTAAAAACAACTAAAAAAAGAAAGGATAAAATCAATGTAACTAAAATCGTTTAGGCTGATAACAGAAAAATTCCGGTTTGAGAAAACGCTTGTTTTGTCATTCTAAATACAGAATTTAGTAGAGCTCATTCAAGGCTACAAGATACCCTGAGTTTTAATTTTAAGTGAATTAAAGTAAGTTACTATATATAAAATGCGTCTAAATACTTTTCCTTTGTAACATAAGCTGATTCTAAAGTGTGTATTTTGTTCAGAATTCAACACTCTATAAAACTACATCGACTTGGTCGGTAAATGTGTGTTTTTCGAGAGATAGATCCCGTCAAGATCTTCCTTAGGGTTTCTTGTCCCCAAAAAGCTTTTTTGTATTTTGACCGTATGTATAATACTCCATCCGACTCAATATTGTTCGTAGGTTACGAATATGACGTTAAAACTGGTTGATAAGTAAATCAGACCTGAAAAAAACAAGTTTAAGTCCAAGTCAGTATGCAGGGAACAATATAAAAACGATTCTTTCTAGGTAACCAGATCCGATGACAATTCTGAGCAACAAAGAATTGAGAATGCACATGATTCTATTCATTGATCTAGAGAAATGTATCAAATGCAGTAGACATATTTATATGACGATGAACAGAAAGTTGTTCAAAAAAAGAACGATCTGCCCTTCCAATAATAGTACGATAAGTTGAAAGAGGAAGATCCAGCCGGAGCAAAACAACAGCAGAATCTCTAAGATTTTTTCGCGCTAGAGAATATTCGTTTGTTTCATATGTATAAGTTGACCTCTAGCATTCGAATACATGTATCAGAGATATATTTCTACTGGTATTTATTTCGCGTTTGTCTATCGAATAGGAGAATGAAAAGAGATTGTAAAATATGTTGTTCGATCTAATGCTAATAACTCATTCATTTTATCGACCAAATTAAAGAACCCTTGTACCACCATATTCTTAATGCTTTCTCCTACTCATAGATGTAAAAAGCCCAAGACTTTCACAATGGAAGCATACAAAAAGTTCGATTAAAATCAACATGTTTATTTTAGTTTTATTGTATAAATAACATGCTGAAATACACTAGAACTGCGACAAATATCATGTCTTTTCTTTTCGAAGGAAAAGAAATGGTATTTGTCGCAGTTCTATTATTGAGTTTTACCAAATAGAGATGATTTTACTCTACATTCTCTTTTACAAGAGATACAACCATTTTCGAAAAACATGAAATTTATTGTTTTTATAAATGAATATCGATCGATACCTGCCTGTGTTTATGTATAATACAATGAAAAGAGCTGAAATTACAAAATATAGAAGAAATTAGATTATTTATTGACGGAAAATGAAAGTTTCTTACATCGGAGTTTTCTGTTTCTGCAAAATGAGAGAAAAAGAGAGATAAGAGGACATATTCATCTATATCGACTAGTAGAGAAATATGCACGTAGAATATAGTTTACGTCTACGTTCTATGTGTTCAATTATGTTTGACATCTTCCCTAACACTGTCTTCTAGCCACCAAGGGATGTGAGCCAATAACGTATGAAAACCTTCATAGACAGAAGAAAAAGTTTAACTTTAAATTGAAAAAAACTAGGTCAATTATTTAGTGAAATTGGCCCATGTCTAAATTTTATCGAAACATCAAAAGCTAAACGTACAATGAACAGGAGAATATTTCTAGGGACTTAATACTAATCTTTTGCAACAAAAACCATGATGATCATATGACATTTTTCAATTATAATCGTACGTTTCTACGCAGTGAAAAATTGAAGTTTTCATTCTTTATGAGACAAGCAAAATAGACCTGAATTGCATGTAGAAGAAAAAAAGTCTTCTTTCTTCTTTGGCGTGTTTCTGTTATGTGTCTAGTTTTAAGTCCACTAGTCGACTTTATTGTCCTATTTTTGTAAGATTCTTGTATTGTGCCACTTCAGACAAGAATCTTCAAATTTGTCGTGATAAATAAGACAAGATTCTTCTTTTAATTTTTTATTGATTTTTCATCTGTTTTATGAAAGATTCTTGTTTGAAATGACCAGATTCGTTGACGATAAAATGACCAATTTGTTTTGTCGATTCCTGTGCTATAACCCCCCCCCGCT